TGTAATGATGGCATAAATTACATAGAAACAGTGGCAGTTATCTCCTATACTTGAATGACAATTAGATACAAGTGGTGACTAACAACAATAGTGTACACACTTTAAGGAATCCCGTATTGCATTGAAATAAATTTATTTTTGCAAAACGATCAAATTTTACGGATTTGTGTGTTGACGTTGATAGTAAGATCATTTGCGAAACATTACATACGGATAAAACATTTAGTACTCCTTTGTAATCTTCCTTTTAAAAAATACTAAATAGATATTATGAAATAAATTAAATAAATGTTTTGTCCGTCTTTCATTAAAGCGGCATATTTCTACAAAACGTTATTGGTAAATGGTAAAAACATCAAGCTAGATATATGGGATACAGCAGGTCAGGATAGATTCCGGTGTGAAGCAGCAATGTTCTATCGAGGAGCAGTAGGAGCAATCGTAGTGTATGACATCACCGATAGAGTAAGTTATTTAACATTACATTGACTACCTGGGGGTTAACGCGTGTTGGACATATTATGAAGAAAACAGTTGCAGGATCCGTATACACGTGTAAATAAGTGTGAGGATATACAAGATTGTATAAATAAAGGCAACATAATTATACCGCTGTTCAATAGTCATAAATCGATTAAGCGAAAACAAATCCGGGTCACTAACCAAAACCGAGGGAAATACATCAACTATAAGAGGAAAACAACGGAACAACAGAAAAACTGAACTGCTACAAAATCAAACGCCAACTTACATAGGAACGGACTATTTGATAATAACTGCAATATTCCTGACCCGGTACAGGACATTTTAAGAAAAAATGGTGGGCTGAACCTGCTTTTATGGCTAGTCAAACCTCCCGCTTATATGACAATGTTACAAATACCGCTAAAATGACAACATTACATGACAAGAATACAGTACAAATAAACACAAGAACACTCAGGAGAGAAAAACATAAAATATAATAGTACATTACAACATGTAAAATATTTCTATTTCGGTGCCTGTCTGTATTTCATTTTAACTTCATGTAATGTCAAATTTCTTGTATACCACTTCTGGAGGTAATGTTTATTTGGACAAATACACGAAGATAGTAATTTTTGATATTTGACAGCGCTTTTGTTATCTTTAGACTTACGTTAGCAACTTGTCTAATGTGCTTTAAGGGTATAAATGGATACTAGAACACACCCGCAACACTGCGGGTCCGTGACTGAATTAAAGTACCTACACCTTATTTTTAGCCTGAACTTCTAGTATTCGTATTGTCATTTGATAAAGTCATGCTGATTATAAGGTGCACAGTTTTCTCTGCTTGCATTTTTTTTTCTGTTTGAATCCGTCCTGGTTTTTTTTCTACAACCGGAAACTACTTGTAGATATATTTTTTTGGTCAATAAGTGAATTAAGTATTGCCAATCCCTGTATAATAACGACCTTCAGGTGTGATTATAACCCGTGTACATAGCAAATCACAAATACACCGTTTGGTGTTGCGCCGGATTGAGGCAGAACTTAAAGATTAGGTAACAGGTAACAGGTACTATTGGTTTCGGTATCGGATTCGACCCAGAACTTGTTAATTATTGGTGATAGTAATTATGTGGAAAACAAAAGGTCCTGGAATGGTGTAATTTTTTAATCAACACCATTGTCCCATATTAGTTATATATAAAGTTGGATTCTTTGATTTGCCGTTTTTACGTAATTCCGGCTAACAAATTGGACATCATTATTTTAGTGGTATAGATTGGCAGTTATGCAAGTACGTTTGTAACACAAGATGTAAATGTAGTTATGTAAAATACGAGTGTATCTAGATCTGCGACACCGTCAGATGCGCGAAATACAAGATGTTCATCGATATGTTCTCGCCGTCTTTATAGAAACACTTTTTTTTTCTATTCAAGAATAACAACAAAAATCCAGTGACAATTAAATCTAGTTAAGACATCAAATTAAAAAATTCTTAACTATTAAAGTTTCCCATTAGAAGTGAATGTGCGTATACTTTCGTGTAATATTGTCAGAGCTAGAGACATAGTTGTTTTTTTCGGGCGGTTTGTGACCATGCAAGTTAATTGATTTATTGATGGTGTATTTTGCAAACGAATCAAATAGGACAATCTTGCAATACCGTAAACCAGCTTATTTTCGCGGATACTTTATTTCGCGTTTAGCGCTTTTTCTAGCCCACTTTGCGGCGATTAAAGTTGGCGATTTTCAAATTTTCTTGATGTATTTGAATTAGGAAAGATCCAAGTTTTACATATTTGCGACAATTTATATTGGCGTTCTATTTCTACTCGCAAAAGTCGCGAAAATATATCGCTCGCGAACATTAGTTGGTTTACAGTAGTTGAAATTGTTCATTACTCCAAATATATAAACTCTTCAAATAGGCCATGAAAATGAAGTAGGAACGCGTCTCTCGTACTCTTCAGTGAGTTACTATATTTAATCAAATAGTTATTAAACATTTTATTTTAAGCGAGATATTACCAACACAAAATTGCGTATGTAAGTGCATGGAACCCCAGACGGTTATTCAATGACACTAGAAATAACTGCATGCATGATTTTCTTCGTCATGATCATTACAGTTAAATTGTGTTTTTTCAATGTTGGTTGGGTAGTTGTTTCAGTGGCATTTTCCCCGGCAGCTTGTTTTGATTTATCTATTTGATTACAGGAATCTTTCCTTGGGGCTAAAACTTAGACAAAACAAATTTTACAGAATTCCACCAATCCAGTACAGATATGCCTTGTTGGTAATAAGTTAGATCTAGCAGACTCAAGAAGAGCAGTTTCCGTAGAGGTATGGACGTTTTTAATTTCACGATTAGTTTGTACCATAACCCAGTTATATAAAATAAAATTGGTTCAGCTAAATACACAGAGTTACAGTTTTCTCGTTATAACCACCTAATTGGAAATCATTATAGTTGCGCAAACACTGGTTATTATTTCCGGTTGATATAAGTAATTATTAAATATGATAACGTTTGTTCAGTGAAAAATCGCTCTTTGACTGTAAAAGAACCCTTGCACGATCTATTACAAGAGCGAATATGTTACCTGTTGCAAGAACAACGTTCTGCCCTTAATCACTATTGCCTTTTTATCCAGAGACAACCTCCATCCCAGTCTTACAATTTTGCGACCTACTTATTGATATTTTGCATGGTTAATTTGCAAAAAAGAAAAGAGTCGGAAGATACCAAGGGGAAATTAAAAACTGACAATGCCATGGCAAAAAAACAAAAAGACGTGCAAATCCACAAAATACTACACTAACAAAGAACAATGAAGATCGAGCAACGCAAACCCTACAAAAACGGTCATGAACTCATTACATATTATAAAGATGCATGCATATTTGCCATTGGTCGTTACGCACACAAACAATCAAGCAATCAATTTAATTAGGTCGTTAAATATTTTTTTATAGGAGGGTAAGTCTTTTGCTTAGAAGAATGGATACTTGTTTGCTGAGACGTCAGCAAAAACTGCAGAAAACATTGATGGCTTATTCAAACAGTTAGGTAACTCATTCACTCATTAACTAAACACACACATCATAAATAAAGGTGAAGAAGAATTGAAATTTAAAAAAAGGGTTAGAAAAGATATATAAAACTAAACAAACAGTTATAATAAAGTGATTAGTGTATTTTCACAGTAGTAATAGCAAAGATAAGTGTGTGCATGAATATACGAATGCGACAATATTCAAAATTAGGATGCAATATAACACCGATACCTGAAAGACATAAATTTGATTGTTGTTTTATCATCTTAGAAGTTACTGACCGTCTGATATCAAATATAATATCGAAACTAATAAAAACCGTAATTCAAACCAAACTCTGAAGTATGAGAATGATAGAGTTGTCTCTCTTTGTCCAAATTTATATATTCAATACTTTTCAAATTAGTACAAACATTTCTATATTGAACGACGCACAACGAAAGAAAAAAATATTTAACTACTCATCTGCCAATTCGACATGCAATTTTATCGATGCGTTTGATGATCTTGTTATTCAGTACAACACGTCTTAACATAGATCTAGCAAAATGACACCTATTGCAGCAAGTAAAAAAGAACCTGAATAAAAAATCTATTGGAATTTGTACGGTAACCTTCTTCCATTAAAACAGGCTAAATCCAAAGTAGGGGTTAAAGTTTGAATCACTAAAAAGAAATTTTTGAAAAGGGATACACGTCTGGATGGAGATATGAATTTCACTAGACTCGTACTCAGGAACTTAAAGTTGTCCACAAATCTCAAATGCCGATAAAGTGGTTTCATATTATCATCCTTTGATTTGTATTCACTAATTTCAATTCTTTTTGTGAAGAAATGTATTTCTCCTCGGTGTTTGTATAACATGAAATTGGTCTTGTGACCCTCTTGTTGATCCTAATTTTTTTTATAAAAAGGTGAATTTTATACCCGGCTAGATTATGAACATACACATGTATAAATTTAGTTCTTTGTTCTTCAAGTATACTCCTTGTGTGCAATGTCTTTGTATTTCCGGTAAAGTGACAGTGATCTCTGTCTTTATCCTCTCCTAAAGCGTTGTCACATAGCCAGCACTGTGTGACAATGTTATCCATCGTCGTCATTACCATCTGTTTTTTTAAGTCACATTCAGAGTAAATTTTTTCTCAAGTCTTTCAACAAAAATCTGCGCCTCATCTTTTCCTTCCTTTGTTTTAGTGTTAAGTACTTGCTCATTAGCTAAGACACTTTCATCAAAGCATTTCATGTAACAACAAAAACCAGACGGTATATGTTTTTTTATAAAATTTGGTGTGATATGTTTGCACTCAAAGTCTACATTAACCACAAGGAACTCTTTTGTGGTTAACACAATACTTTTTACTAGTCTTCAGTTACACTTGCTGCGAAAATGGTACAAGCACCTGTAGCACAAATATATTTCACGACCCGTGTTCCGATATCTGGCTCGAAACCAGTCGAAATATGTTCTTAATCCAGCATTAGTTTTTTCGTTCGTCACCTTCTACCAGCCACAAGTAGATTTCTGTATCCCGCTCTTCAGCAAAATCTGAAATTTGTAGTGGGGTATATCTTTTGATGACATTGACTGCCAAGGTAGAGATGGTATTTTTTCAAATTTGCAAATATCCTTAAGATTTAACGGGAAATCCAATCCTTTAAGGTTTAGTTCATCTGTCCACATGCAGTACTGAGTCAACCTATCTGCATGTTGTTGGTTTACCTCCACATAATGCACGACTGAAAGTATTGCCCATTGAAAACTCTAGTTATCGATGTTTTTCACGCTAATTACAGCTTACTGGTCTTCAATCCATATAGAAGATGTTTTGGTGGTAGTAAGGTAACATGTATATTTGAGCGTTTGAAGTTGTTTTGTGTTCTGTGGGTTAAATAAGATTTTTCAAAACAATAATAATAAAGATAAAAAGGTTAAAAGATTGATATATTAGAAGACATTTAACAATTACTGGATGATTGCAAATATTGGCAGACGTTGAACAGGGTCAAAAACCCTATACACGAAACTTTCTAGCATTTTAACATTTAAGAGTCAAAACAATATTTTTTTTTCAAATTATCTCCAATAAATCAAATTCTTATGCAGCGCTATCATTATAGTTACTACAATATGTTTCAATATCGAGTTTGTACAGTAATTATGAAATTGTGCTTCGAATGAAACCAGAAATAACATGGGTTTTGTTTTAATCTGAAATAATCAAATTTTGATTTACTTGGAATAGATCTTTGGTAATCTCCTTCACATTTTCGTGACAAGATCTCAAAATTTACAAAACTCCACGAGTTTAGATCAATTCGTCATGTCCATAAGATTTCACAATTTGGCTGCATGTTCATCAATACATCATAAAATTGTAGGATCATGCAGCTTCCTAACTGTGAATCATTAAAGATTAAAATCGTTTAGTAAGCCTGGAGTCATATGTAATTTTAGGGTGAATCCCCTGGATTTTTTTATTTGTAATTACTATTCAATATTGCAATCTCCAACCGGAACAAATATAACTATATGAATTCATAATTCAGATACCTGTACATTTATTTCAGATATTTATAAAATATTTAAATTAAAAGTACATACACTAATAAATTTTATCACTTTTTGCATGAATAATCATAACACATAAGAAGTACCATAGGCATATCCTGTTTCGTATATTTTCATTCATACATCATTTGTATCTGACACAAGAATTGTGAAATTATTTTCAAAAGTTTCGAAATGATTTTGATTATATGGGAGGACATACTTACTCAGTGTACTTATAGGAAGAAACAATCAGGGTATGGATTGATTAACATTTTCCCTGTTTTAATATGTGTTCTACTTATACAACACGGTAACTGTTTACTTTGTCGTCCTCCATTCTGTCGATCTCAGGAACAGATACCTTGTAGTCCTCCATCATGTAATTCTCCTGGATATTATCCGTGGTATATGCCTAATCCATCGACTGAAAGCGGACCGTGTGGAAGATTCTGTAAATTTACTTGGATTTGTGATCCTTGTCAAATATTAAACCGTACCGCAGGTAAATATGATAATGGTAATGACAGATCTATACGTCCGAGGAAATTATGTAATGTGTCTGGCACCTATCTAGACATTAAAAAGGGTAGCTTAGGGTGTCAAGTTAGTTTTTGTTGATTTCACGTGATTTTAAAACAAATCGTCAAAAAAGATAATTCTCAATTAACATCACAATCTGCATGCTCTAGGTAAGCCAATACTTCTAACAAAAACAATGTTGAGATTATTATCAATTTATAGAAAAGACATTTCTATATGGATCAAATTGTTATTGCCGAACATACTAAACTTAAGAGAATGTCACTTACATCAGAAAGCGATGTATACTACAAAAAACCTGAAAACTATGGTCTTCACACATACGCCTAAAAATTGTACAAAACAACACCTATATTAAAAAAGGTGATATTAAATATAAGAATCTATTAATAATTCGTATTAAAGATATCCTTCATCAGTATGATTATAATAATGTAAATGAATCATATCAATCTATTCTGATTTAACCAAAACAATCTTTACAGTTGTACTTTAAAAACGGCACAAAATCTTTATAACTCAATAATTTCAAAGATAACTTTAGGTAAGTTAGTCAGCAGAAACTTCATCGATATTCTTCGTAAAAGAATAGTAAAGTGCGATATAAACTGGTACAATATTAAAATGTTACAGGATACGTAAGTTAAGATATTACAACAGAGAATGCATATAAATACATTCCCAATTAATAGAATTAATCTAATATATATAATTACAAGTGAAAACTCTATGACAGATACAACCACTGGATCACCATTGAAGGTTATACACGGCTGAAAACACATATTATATGCATAATTACTCTAAATTTAGGCTAAACAATGTTAAATATGAAAATTTGCGTTCCGAAAATATTAGTTCTTCCCTCGCCGGGATTCGAACTCTTATAAGTATTGAAATATCGAGACAACATAGCCTGCACTGTGTCCATCGCTCTAGACCACTCGGGCACCTAGACTGAACTAAAAATTCAGCGTTCGGTGGCCTAGTGTTACCTTTCCTCGTCAGTAGAATCTAGAGTTGTAACACAGTACATGATATATGAGGCATGTACTTTAGGCTGAGTAAGTAAATAACATTCGTGAATGTCATTTATTTCAACAATACAAGTTGTTGGTGTAAAATAGTTCAGTAATGTTGGTAAGTTTTGGACTATTGATTTAATCCCAAATCTTGAACTGCAGCAAATAAACAAAACTCAATACTCTATAAACTTGGCTGCGTTTATATACATCCCAAATTGTAAAAATGCAGTAGTATGCTTAGATGTATGTTAGATAAAAGGAGAAGAATCCCTCTATAAAACTGTTAGTATTTCATGTTGATGCTGTTTGAATGAAGTACATTTAGTCCCGAAGCTTTTCCAAACCTGTCGCTAGGCATCACTCCGGTGAATGTTCTGTTTAATCATTAGGATATTCATGCGGTTAAAGTCATCAAGTTTGTGATCCGACTGCCTGAAATGCTTCCTAAATGGGAGAAGTGGCATCTTAGAGATATAACTTCTATTACTATTGAAGCGTTTTTGAAAAGGCTGCTTAGACTCACTAGCATATTAGAGGCGACAAACCAAAAATTCGAGAATGTAAATAACATGGATACATTTCGCAAGTCACATTACAAATATACTATTATTATTTTCGGTTGGAGTCCTTTTGTTTTTATTTTTAGATTTGTATTCCAGCAATTTGCTCCTTGGGATGTTTTTCTCTTTCGGAAAACTTTTTTGAATAGTCTTGTGTTTATATATCCTCCCCATTCAAGCGAGTTTCTAATTGACTCGTTTTTCAGTTGTTTTTGTGTTGAAACATAGTCGCTTGACTCTGTGTGCCTGACTGTACGGGATGCTCTTAGAAAGCGAGCAGGATGTTAACTTTTAGGGTACAGGTATTTGGGAGTATCAGTAGTCCTAAAATATTGGATTTGTGGATATGATTACATCTGTTACGGTGCTAGAAGAATAGCGGAAGGTGATTTTTTAATTTATATCCCTCATGAGTAAATTTGATACTTTGATGTATGTTTTTAGTATGAGCGATGCATGTATCTAAATCTTCATCAGCTTAATTCCATATATATATATATATGTTCGACCTGTTAGTCAAATGCGTTTTGTTAAAATATACTTATTCACTTTTTTGGTCTTTTGGAAAATGTTGTTTGTGTGTAAATTGAGGTAAATTATATGGCCTTCCAAATACCGTTTCGATCCCTAACATCACTGAAGAGACATTAATTGTCGAAATCCGGATATGGTGTACAAATTTTTGCACCTCATGTTTGTGGTATACCATCTTTGCCGCAAGTTTACTGTTTTCTGTTTAGTATTATTATTAATATAAAGATCCATGTTTTTACATCTTGTGATTAATTTATTTGGCAATTGTCAATGGCAGTCAGCAGGGTATAAGAACATCAGCTGTTCGACCTGTTAGTCAAATGCGTTTTGTTAAAATATACTTTTTCACTTTTTTTATCTTTTGGAAATGTTGTTTGTGCTGTATTCAGACTCCTCTACAACGAAATTTGTTTTACATGCACACGTATAAAAATTGAGGGTTTTATCCAACGCAATCATAGGTTTGAACGTTGTTTTCAATTTGGACTTGTATATATATATATCTTGACGCTATACTTCTAGGTTAAGATTTGGATATAATGATCGTGTAATTAATAAAGTATGCATTTTTCAAGTAATATTAGCCAGTATTGATTTGAATATGCTGGACCTTTTGACTTACAATCATTGTTGAATATTGGTATCAAATGACTTTATGATTATAACCCTGGACATGTATACTCAAACCACCCAATATGAACTTATGAAATGATATGTGTCATGTCACAGTTTTAACATTGTTTTAACTTTTAACATTTGATACGGTCAGTTAGAAACAATGTAGTATTTGATACAATAAATAGATTCCCCCCGCCAAAAAAAAAGATAGACTATCATCAATTTTTCAAATACTTATAGTAAAATTAGATTATCTTTAGAATTCTGAAAGCTTGAAAAGAAAGCCTTTAATATACAGATACATATTTTAATAATAAAATGTACTGTCGATTTTGTTTTGTTCTTTTCAGCCAATGAAATTGATAGATTGCTTGTTGATGTTCCAGCAGATTCTGATATCTGTCGTAACGTCAGAACATACAGTATTTCGTTAGCTGTAGTTAACAGAATGGATACTGGGTAATATTCTACATTTGCTCGTTCTTGAATACTTAGTTGAATTCCATTATATTGATCATATATTCGTATAACATGTATAAATTCATAATTTGATACGAAATAAAGCTAATAAGATTTATTGAAAAAAAAATTTTTTCTCAAAGCGTCGTTTTTTCAATTAAATTTACACCATATTCGACCTCTGGCAGTGAAAATTGCTGATTCAGCAAATTGTGCCTGATCTGTGGTTAATAATGTAAAATTTTACCTAGAAAGTAGAACTTCATTATTTAAATGTAACTTGCAATACATTTTTAATTATAAATGTTCGCTTTAACTTTTCGCAGTGTCTGACACATTTGCAACAACTGGAACTTCAGACGCGACATATTTTAGTTGCCTGTACGTCCTATTATTTTGACCGAAATGAATAAAGTGCATAATTTCTTTTTTTTTTTCCACACAAGTACAGCTATACTAGTTTTCTTCAGGTTTGATTTGTAGTTCTGTGGTAACATGACACCAGTATGAGCATTTTTGGAACCAGTTAGTGGTTAGGGGGTCCTTACTTATTCGTTTAGTCCTCATACTGAGCTGAAATAGAGATAGCAATAGGGGTTTCTTTACATTGGCAAGACATTTTTTTTTTGACAAAGAATGTGATTATGATTGTACATCAGCAATATTAAATAGTTTATTCATTTTCCATGCAAATGTCATTAATTTATTTGATTTTCTGACCCTGTTTTTTTTCAATCAGATTAACTATAAATAAAGTTGGTAATCAAATAATTCCTCCTGAATCACCATGGTTGACTTCTGTGTTGATTTGAAACAATACCTATTTGGGTTTTGTTCATTCTTTAAGTAAAAATGTTCAGATGAAAAAAAAAAGTGAAAATCTGCTAGCTGGGGTACGGGTATACTTTATTTTTTTTTTATAAGAAATAAGTGCAGACTAGTATGCTATATTGTAATATGTTTCCCAGTAAGAAGTCTGTGCATCATAGGTGTCTTGACTGATTTCAAGTTTGTAATGTCTTGGTTAAGGTAGCACGGTAGTATTTGCATTCCAGAATTTAGGTTGCTCTTTTGTGTACCCTACTTAAGTCAATGTATCTGAACAGTGTGCTTGGACAAAAAATACAGTACAAACTCAACATACCTTCCTATACTGAAAGATGAATCAGGTGAAGAAAAATATGACATAATTTTACATACAAGTGAAAATTATTTTTTTTGATTTTTTTTTAATTTTGTATTTACTGCATGATAAAAGATCTAAAAGCACTAGTGGCCTCGAGTTTTTAAAGATAGCAAAAAAAGTAAACGATCATGATACATATTCAAATTCATTTCTGAATATTATAATGAAAGTAATTCAGTTAACTGTGTAAATAGAATTTTGAGCAGTGTTAGAAAGTGGTGAAAATTCTAAAAAGGCTATCATTATCCTTTATGGGCCAGGAAATACTACCGTGCCCTTATAGTTGTCTGATTTGTATTTGTACCACTAATGTCTTATTTCCGTTTTTGACTGAGTGTGGATTCGCATTTGATTTCATCCGATTTCGTCAGTTTTTGTTTGTTTGTTTTTATTTGTATATTTCTTATTGATTTACGAGATTTCAGCATTGGAAAACTACTTTTCCTTTAAGCCAGGTTTATCACATTTGTTGTGCTTCTATCTTTTTAAGTGAATAAGTAAATATGTCTCAATCGCATAATCCTATTCAATTCAGTTCAAAAATATATTTTATCATTTTTACTGGCAGGTAAATTTTTTAGGTTTTCAATATAATGTATATTTTATTATAATTATTATACTGAAGCTCTTACCACAATTACATTTGTAGAATGGTAACATCGCTAACGTTATATCTTATAAATTAATGTTCTTTTTACACCAAATCAAGTTGCTGAACTAAATTCAACATATTTTTATCATTTCACGATCCCTGGCAGAACAGATTCTAGGTTATATAAATGGTAAAATAAATAAAGAATAATCATTTACTAAAAGAGAGTCGAAAGCTATCAAAGGGAAATTAAAACGTTTAAGTCGAAAATAAACTGAAAACGCCATGACAAATTAAAAAGACCAAAAGACAAATAACAGTATACAAAACACAACAAAAATAAACTAAATAATGAGCAATGCGAACTCAGTCTAAAAGGGCAAGCCTAATCTGCTCCATATGTTGCACCCGTCATGTTTCTCACGTAAGTGAAACAGTGATAAGTATCATAACTACTTATTGTTTGCCTCTTCTTTAAGTATTGGAATATTTTTTTTTAAATTCTGAGAAAATTCATTTGTAGGTGACAATTGACTTTTAAAATTTCACAACTAAAGTATACTCGAAAAATTTCTGAAACAATCAAAATTAATTTGTCGTACGTATTTTCACAAATACTCATAAACGGGTGTTCATTGCTCATACTAGTGTAATTTGATTGCTATGTGTCCGGACATAAACATTCCTACATTTAAGCGTTAAGCAAATGGAAAAAAGTGTTTCTTACATAATTACTGTTATGTATTTACCTGACCGATCAAAATAGGCCATTGTCTCACTTTACCAATTAGTTAAATAACTTAGATGGCGTTCTATAGTCAATGGAAGTCTCTGCGATAACCAGTACAACAATTTTCGAACACTGTTAAAAAACCGAAGTCAACGGATATGTACTAAACACATAGTTTAGGCAAAATTATCCAAAAATTCTTTACTAACCATGATTTCAAATTAATTCAGGGGCCAAACAAGCGATGCAAAGAATTTTGCAGATTATCTTAGGAAAACTGAATGGCAGTTTGGGACTGGTTTATGTGGAAATAATGTGGTGATATTCCTTTCACGTTATGATAGGCAAGTAAGTAATGTTTATTTTCTCATTTCATTCTTTTCTCTATCTTATCATAATATTTCTCCTAAAAGCATTATGTCATAAACATTTCAAAAATTTGGATCGATAATATAGCGTTTTATAAGGGACACCAACAGTTAGTCTTTACTGAAAACTTAATATCGAATGATACGAACTTACCAAAACCGATGGAATTGTCTTGTCAAGCACCTACTGATTACATTTTGGCACCAATGGAGTTGTACATATTCGACAAGTGTTAAGTTACAAAAACAACTTTTTATGATATTTGCAGAGCTATGGACCTTGGATATAGAAATTTCACCAAAAAATCAGTTTTCAAACTTTTTCTGCTCGTGCTTGAAGTCTGTCCATCCGTCAGTCCAGTCACATTCCGGCAAATAACTGTTCTACTCGGTTTTTTCTTTGTGCTTGAAGAAATTAATTTGATATTTGGTTTATAGTTTCATGATGACTAGTTACAGATCAAGTTCGAATTTTGTTGCGGTCTGTTGATTTTTTGCAGAGTTTAGTAAGCATTTTTTCCCAGTACAATACATTGTGTACCGGTAGGGGACTATATATAGCCATGCAATACTTTAAAAATACTTGATTAATGAAATCGCCTCGGGAACAACGAATCACAATTTTGACGATATTGCGTTTTCAAATAAACTGAAGAAATAAGTTGACAAAATGTTTCCAATTCGACATATAACATGTATAACAAAAAACGCTACCGTAATGATTTGAACTTATTACAAGATGGTTAAATTAAAAGATATTTACTTGATATCAAATGTAACATTAAGAACATAACCAAAAATAACATTACGTAAGTTGCAACTAAATTCCTCTATTTTCGAGTGAAATAAAACCTAGTACTTGTATTTTTATTTTTCTGATGCTTTACAATAATAGGTGTTGTAAAGACATTGTCAAGGAAATTTACAAATGAAGTGAAATTTAAAATGTATAAATCTATCATTTTTTTTTGTCTCGCCTTGACGGACTCAAAAAGCGAGACATAGGTATGCTGTTTCCGGCGTCGGCGGCGGCGGCGACGGCGGCGTCAACAATGTATTAGGTTGTGATTAGGTCTAGTTCATGGTGAACCACTAGTGGTAGGTCAATGATATTTGGTATTCAATTGTATTAGCATTGGTACATCCCATTACCATGGAGATTATTTGGCTCCTCCCCCTCAGTCAAGGTCTATTGACTTTGAAACTTTGCTTAGTTTACATGTATCAGTTTGTGAATAGGTCAGTTTATGGGGAACCACTAGTAGTAGGTCAGTGATATTTGGTATGCAGTTGTATTTGCATTTGCACATCTCATTACCATGGAGATTATTTGGCCCCGCCCACTCAGTCAAGGTATATTGACTTTGAAACTTTGCTTAGTTTACATGTATTAGTTTGTGATTAGGTCAGTTTATGGGGAACCACTAGTGATAGGTCAATGATATTTGGTATGCAGTTGTATAAGCATTGGCATATCTCATTTCCATGGAGGTTATTTGGCCCCGCCCCCTCATTCATGGTCTATTGACTTTGAAACTTTTGCTTAGTTTTTATGTATTAGTTTGTGATTAGGTCAGTTTAAGATGAACCACTAATGTACAGTCAATGATATTGGCATTTGGAGATTATATAACTCCACCCCCTAATTATGGTTCATTGACTTTGAAACTTTTACATTGTTTACAAGTTAATGTTTGTGTTTAGGTTTGTTTAAAGGGAACGACTTACGAAAAGACAATGGTATTTGGTTTGCAGTCGTATTAACATTGGCACATCTCATTTCCATGGAGATTGGTAGCCCTGTACCTTCAGTCATGGTTCATTGACTTTGAATATTTGCATAACTTACATGTTAAAGTATTGCTATTTTAATTTCAACATTTGCATTATCAAAATAACAAATAGGCGAGATATATCTCTGTTTTAACAGTTTATTTGATCAACATTAAAGCTCAGTTCAGTAAAACTAAAAATAATTAATCCAAGAATGCATTCAACACATGTTTAAATTCCCAACCGAACAACAGCAGTGATTATTTATAGTCATGTTAGTTGTTTTGAATTCGAATGCCGATTTGGTATTCTAAATCAAATACTAATTTATAATAAGGTAAACGCTAATGGAAAACGTACTTGTTGCATTCGAAATTTTGTCAGACGAAATTTGTTTTCAGTTTATGTCTGGAATCTCAACGGAAATATATAACTTCATATATCAGAATTGAGTTCTTTTAATATAACATTTCTGTCATTGGGTAGGGCTATTAGCAAATATAAAGGTCTTTCAAGTATCTATAGAATAACCATACATTGTCTCGAAATATAAATGTTATTTGTTCAAGACTCATAAATAGGTAGAAGGCAAATATTTCTACCGTGTTTGAGCCGAGTAAAAATAAAATGTATTTGTCGAGACAAAACATGGTTACTCTTTATATACCCAACTGTTACATAAGAGTACGAAATATTTGAAATAAGAACAATCATTTTTTTAATTTGAAGCGGACGACAAAACAATTCCGCGAACCTGTATATTTTATTGACGTCATCAATAAAACTCTACGGAAACGCATTGTCATTTACGTATTAACAAGGCAATAAACGGTGTAAATGTTTACAAAAACGTCAATACTGATAATTTACTTACTCCTTTTTAGGTCCTCAATGCTCTTCAACTTCGTGAGCTAATTTATTTCGCCTTTTAATTTTTTTTAGTCTTTTGTTGAAATTATAAGCCTTGTATCTATGTTGAGTTTGTTCAGTTAGTTTTATATTCGAAATTTTGCATTCGGTTATTTACAAATAGTATAATATTTTTTAAATATAGGTATACACATCAGCAGGCAAAGCAGCTTTCAAAGTTTTGAATGAAAATTGCATTGACAGCATATTCAAAAAAGCAAAACAAGATTATTTTTCAGCTGACGATTTTGAAGGAGGATTAAAATTCATGATACAGGAATACAAGTACGTACTATGAATCTATTTATTTCATATATTCAACCAATGTTTTCATTTCTTGGTGCGGGTAAGATTTAGAAAAGCGGATAGGAAAGAAAACGTTAGGATATAAACTGTAAAACGTCAATGCATTAACCCTATATGTAGTCCGATAAACGAGCGGGCTTCATGTCCCCCCTAAATCCACCTCTGCTTGTGACGATGCCAGGTTGCTATAGTCGTGGCGTCATAGCAATGTAAGGTGCTCTCAAACCAAACATGGACATTAACTGTATTACACATGTCAACATAAATTAAAAAAAATACACTATTGAAAAAAAAGTGCTAATATTTATTCATATTTCATATTCGGTCCTACATATAACATAGAAAAAAAGAGATATAATCAAAGTCGGAAAATTCGTTACATCTTTTAACAGCAAGACTTAGAAGTGATTTAAAATTAATCAGTTGAGATGTTTTTTTTCTGTACACAAGAAGATTGTTATTACGTACTGTAGTAGCGAACACAATTTTTTGATATTTTTTGTAAACAAATGCAAAACATGTTTTGTGCGAAATATCGTTATTATATATCACTTTTTTTTTCACTTGTGAAAGGTTAAACTACTTAGTACATGTAGTATATGCTAAATAAGTATAGCAAACGCAAATGACTAATATTTCTACCTTATCATTTTTTCCTAAAAGTACCTTCAAAACAAAGAATTTTGTAAACTAATTGAAAATAATGGCAATATATTGTTAAATAAAATTTAGTTTGAGATCAAATTTATGTTGTTTTAGATTTGATGGAGAGCTAGGAATACTTCTTAGAAAATATTTTCGCCAAATAGTATCAATTCTTCAAACTTCCAGTAAGGTTTATCAATGGCTAAATTTATGATTAAATTTCCTTGTTTGACTTATATAAATGATATGATCTTATACAATCAACTTATGATTTAACTAAAATGATAGATAGATTAAACAAATTAAAGAATGAAAATAGTAGTATACTGTGTGTAGATTAAACGGGCGACTTATGATTGATTTTTCCAACGGCGAAGGCGAACGCTACAGGGAACGGTGGTGTCGGCGGCGGTGTCAACAATTTGTTGCTACTTGTGATTGCGTCACTTGACCAACTAAAATTAAACCAATGATATTTGGTATGCAGTGGTGTTAGCATTAAGACAACTCATTTCTGTAGAGATTATTTGTTCTTGTACTTCATGTACTTGCTCATTTTCTATAGGCTTGTATGCAAACTTTAGCAAAATAACGAAATCAAATATCAACGAAAACACATTTCTTCCTGACTCCACGAAAATTGGTACCCGCGAAAATAAATGATCATTAGTAACGCGAAAACAACTTGTTTATTCGCTCGGTGTATTATCTAATAGCATAATTAAATACACGTATTTTGAACAGTTGTAAGCTGATAACATTTTACGATTAACCTCTGTCATTATTTCATTTTTGATTTAATATTGCATAGAGCTACACGTTAATATGCTACCTCAATCGTCCAAGTCTTTGCCGACTCAAAATTGGTAAAATGTAAATCATGTGAATGGAATCATGTATTCTGGGTTGTGAAAGTACACCCTTAATAATCTCAAACTAAAACACGCCGCAGAATTGTCATAGACACTAGAGAAAATTTTAGACATTGTCAATTCGGCGATTTGAAGACGATTTTCATCTTCTTAATCTAAATAGTAGATATGGTAGTATTGGATTATTTAAAGTAAAACTTCACCAGCAATGCTTAAACCTACGTATTATACCTTCAGTTTATAGTATATAAAACGTAAATGTGTAGAGAGTACTGCAGATAAGGACTTGAAACACAAACTTAATTACCCGTATGCGCTAATAGGTTAATCGGTCGAAATATTATCCGAGTAACCAGGTAAATATTTAATTAGACATTTTTTTTTAGAAAAATGCATATTTGTTAAACCAAATGAATGAGTGAATTATTTTTTTTTGATCGAATAAATATACCTATGCACAATAAAGCAAGAATAATTGGGACTCAAAATAAGTAGCTACCGATACATGACAGCGTATATTACACTGTCCGGCGTACTAGTTGGATTCGTCTCAAGTAGCTTCACATTATTTTAATGTTCTGTATTAATTACTTCATTACTGTATGTAATTTTTGGTTATATAGCTCTCCATCTGTTATACTAGTACATCCTTGGCTTTCAAATATTCGGCTGTGATTTCCTGTAGAAGGTAAATCCAGAAGAAAGTTTCGGACGCAAAATATTTATATCGTGTTGTTTACATTCTTGTATTAGTACAATTAGAGATACATGTGAACTATAATTACGGTTGCTCACACTCACTTTATTGAAACTTTGGTGAAAAATTGTCTCATTTGGCAATTATACCACATCTTTTTTTTTATATAAGATGGATGATAATAAATATTTTCTTATATAAGTAACTAGCAGTTTTGAAAGATTTTAGCACTTCTTTCAAATTGGTCTTGTACAAATAACAAGCATCTATGATTTATTCCAGCACCTATTTCGAATTTATCTTATACTAAAAACTAACAGGTACGAAATATTTAAAAACTACTTTAAACGCAGCTATTTTGCAGAATCTCCAATACAGCATATTAACCATTTATTATTTCCTTAATAATTTTTTACCTCAAATAATTCTTAAAACGTCAAAAGTCAGAATAGTTTGTGTAGTAGCATAGTCACATATGAGTTTAATTTCATCACGGTGATTTGGTAGATGAAAAGCAGAAATAATAGTCTGGTTCAACTGGAAATCAGGTTTTAAATTTCAAGGGATACTATTACAGACCCATTGGTTATGCTTAACAAGGCGTCAAAATATAATCAATGTAAATTGTAATTATTATTTTCAGACATTAATGAACAAAAATTTGGAAATGCAGGCAATCTGAACTCCCGTCTTCTATTTTGTTATTGTTTTACTATAGTAGATACTGTAAAATATAAATGATTTTCAAACGAAACTTTTATTGAAACTTTTTCTACGACGTTACTTTGTTGAAAATATGTAATTTTTTAGTACATCAATAAATTTAATTAAATTTAATTTCATTTTATTTTCAGGAGGGCTTTACAAGATGGGATATGTTCTTATGGTGATACACACCCGTCTTTCTGGATTTTGCTTGCTGTTGTAATTTGTTTCGTGATTTTACTTAGTACTTTGATTGTGTGTTTCTGTTTTAAAATATATTGTCCAGATGTGTGTACAGGAGCATATGCAAGAACGAGTGGCGGAAGATGGGTATGGGGAGGATTGGGTATAGGAGGAGGAGGCGGAGGAGGAGGATGTGGCGGTGGTGGCGGTGGTGGCGGTGGCGGTGGTGGTGGCGGTGGTGGTGGTGGTGGTGGTGGTGGTGGTGGTTGTTAAATGAGATGTACAGCAACATTATATCAATAAAACCAAAAACAAACTGCCAATTATATAATAATAAATGAAAGAATCAACGAAGGCACAGTCAGTTTCTATTGGAATATCAACCTCTCAACTTTTATAGATATACCACATTATGAATTGTAAGATAAGAGTTTGCTTCAATGTCGAATAAAAGAGTCGTCTTGAAGTACTGGTAGTACTTGTCTGTGAGCACAATTAACATATTTAGCTTAGTAATTATATAATTTATCGGTCGTCCTACTGCCTATATCACTCTGCTCAGCTCTAAAGAAAATTGCATATCACGGCTTTGTGATGTCAAATGCATTGACCCGGCCTTAATAACTTTGACCCGTACATATCAGCGACGTCATAATGTTTGAACCGACGTTGATAAGTTTGACCCGAACTTATCAAGTCATCTTCTGGTTCCTGGTGAAACAAAGAAAACACTTTCAAAGACGCAAATACAGCCCGATAAATCGATTATCAGGTTAACAATATGAAGGATTTTTTTTATCTCATTCGTTGCGCGCACTCGACAAAAAGCTTCATATTGTGACTCGCAGCTGATATTCTACTATATCAATATGCAGACAACCTGATAATCGGTACTTAAATGGTTGTATATGAGCAGACGTTATTAGAACAGAATATTTGTCGTTAATATTTAATTGATATTTGTATTTTGTTTTTTCTGTTCGGTTGAAGTAGGAGGAATGAAAGTGATATCTTTTATTATATAATCATATCAATACAGAAATTATGTCGAATTGTGACAACAATGTTGGCTGCTTTATTGGCTAAATTGTGTATTACGTTATGAATAACTGTAATGTAAATGATCTGCCTTTCAATGGACACCTTGATTGGTAAATAAAACTATCTATATCTGTATCCTACACAGTGATAGAAAAGACCTCATACCTATCAAGACATCTCATAGTCTCAAATTGAAAACGGTGTTTGCATCTCCGATGTTCACTGATGCATTGCATTTAAATAAACATATACAATTGTATTTGGTATCTCGTTTAAAAATTATAATTTATCCTGTATAAAACAACTACAACAGTCTTTTTAATATGAGATTGAATCCGATGGATGCAAATTGAAAGATGTATATGAACTGGGACTGACCTCATCACACACATTTTAAAACTTTGAATATACATGTTGTTGTTGGCATTCCTGAATAATTAGCAGTCACTGAGACTACTCCACTAGTTATCCCTTTCCCATAACCCAAATACTGTGAATTCTTTTATTTTCGTAGGTACACATTTCTGTGGATTAAGGAAAAATTGTATTGTCGTAGATATTTGATTTCGTGTTATTCAAAAGTCTGAATACACGCCTATAGAAATGTGTACTTCGTTGACTATTTAAATTTGGGATTCACCTCAAGAATTTACATTAACATGATATTCATAGATTTTCTAAGAAAGACGCTAAGGATTAGGTATTTCTACCTGAAGAAATAAGTAAATGTATATCCACGGACAGTTGTAAATTTATATACCCCAAGCTATTCAGTATAAACAAAACACACAAATATGAATCCAACAGTATATCATATAAATGTAACATCTAAAGTTCATTGTTTACTTCTTTTAGTCAGGAAAATAGTAAATACAGATGGAGAAGTACCAGCTTTGCATGACAACGATAACAGTATCAAATTAACGTAAAATATTTCTCTACGTCGATGAATCAAAAACCAAGTTATAAAACAGGAGATTATTTCTCGAAAACATACTTTGTGCAATGATATTGTTACTATGTAAAAACACATGTACAACTGACAGTTTGCTTAGTATAACGTTTTTACGTTTGTTTAACATAACGTGTTTGTACAGCTTGGCTTTTCATTCTCAAGTTCCAATTGAGGGGCAGTTTAATATCTGTGATTGATAATCAAATGTTTACACAGCCAGTCGAGCGATTGCCGACAATAAAAACTGGTCTAGGTTAACTTTGGGAACTACTGAGTTTTCAGTGTTAATTTCAACGCGGTGTAGTTGTACAAATTGTCATTACCTATCATAACATTGAGCGCATTTACCCTGAACCAGCCGAAATAGGTATGCTTGTTTAATATTTAATTTCAGTACGTGTATCAATGCGCATCACTAAAATTCCTTTAATGAAGCTTCCAGGTCTCTAATTTTAATGGTTATCTTTTTTCTCTTTCTTTTTTATTATTATTTTTCGGCCGTAATAATTTGCAAAGTTAACTCTGTTCAATTTATCTGCATTAATCTTCATTTATTCAAATTACCACAATATATGTATTAAATGCATATTCATATTTTATGTTTCAATTCACTTTGTTCAACAAGGCAGCGAAACGATTTCGCTATGACTAATGTAACAGGAACACGTGCTCATATTTTTTTTTATTTAGAAAATCCAGCAAGCAGAACTACACATAAATGATGCTTGGATTTACATCAAGTACGATTTTTCCTAAGGTGTTTTTGTTTTATGAAATAAGTATCACTGTCTAAATACCATTTCTTTATCTAAATAAAAAAAAAACAGTACATCTAGAACCAAACCAATTCGAGATTTGTTATTCATTTTTCCAGCTTTTCTGGTCTCTGATTCTGACGTTTTTTTTCAATTGTACATGATTATACTTTAAATTGCTTCTTCTATAAAATACCAATATTGTAGTATATTTTCTGTGTGTTAAACAAAGTAATTAAGAAACGGACATGTTTACATATTATATCTTTTTCAGTCATTTTCTTTTAATTTTATGTAGTACCTATTGGCCAATACTGTCGTTTTTCCTAGAAGTCCGTTCATTTACGGTTATGTCAACGATTTGAAAACGAACGAAATAACGCTTTTTACCGGACTTGACTTTTTATTCCCATTCCGTACAATTCATATCAGGAGGTATATTTCTTTGTGCTCAGTTGTATTATAAAACTAGTTTTGCAAGTTTTGACTTTTTACTCCCATTCCGTACAATTCATATTATGAGGTATATTTCTTTCACTACAAAAGTCAAAAAGTCTGAAAAGACCAGTTTTTGTCTGAATTTGCATGAATTTTTACTCGACATTCTTAATTTGTCTGAATAATTTTTAAAAATTCTTGACATAGTATGAATTTGTCTAATAAGGTTCTTGATTTTTCTTGACAAGTGTCTTGACAGTATGAACATTGTCTTAAAATTTCTCGACACTTCCTGTATCATCTGATAAGAGTCTGGATTAGTCTCGACCAATTCTTGACTGTCTTATTTTTGTCTCGATCTGTCTTGACATATTCTTGACATTCTTAATAATGTCTGAATATGTCTCGACATATTCTTGACATTCTAAATAATGTCTGAATATGTCTCGACACATTCTTGACAGTCTTAAATATGTCTTGACACTATCTCAACAGTATAAATGTCGCCTGAAATGTGAACAGACTTATTCTGCACTGTTTATGACATTCTATTGCTGTTATATACTCCTTTTTATTATGGCTAAACTAAACTTTGAAGAATCAAGGATTAATTTGGTATAGTAAGATACCCTTTTGGTGCAACTAAGTTGGAATGCCCTGAATAATCCCCCATGTAGTTTAATTTTGATTTATTTTTATTAAACATTTAAGTAATTGTTTTCACTTGGAATATAAGTCGAAGGTATTGACATTGAGCATTTAGATTTTTGCCGTTCGCAAAACTGCCAGTCAAATTTGCTTTACTAAAATAGGTGTCTTGTATCTCTTTTGGACCCCACAATTCATCTTTTGGGTTTGTGTGGCTAAAAAAAGAGGGGGGGGGGGGCTTTCGTTTAGGTCAAAGAATTTGTTCCCATCTTGATTCAAAAACCTTATTAATTTTTTAGAACAACCCAAAAACATTTTTTATTCAAATTTGAGTGTTGAATTTTATAATTTTTTATCAAAAATAAATATTTGTGATAACTTCTTCCTGAAAAGAAAAAATGTTTAGATCTATATAATGCATGTCTGTTTGAGAACCATTTCATAAGACCGATGATTTCTATAGAAATCATTGATGGGACCCATTATAAATACATTTTTTTTTATTATTCCTGGAGTAGATAATAATTTTCTTTTAATCTTTGGGAATTATTCAATTTGTTTTTATGTTAAAATAATTAACTTCATAATTTTGATGAAGAAAATCCATTTCAATTCATTTTTTTCTTATCAAAATGATGATTTTCATTTTCATCTATCAACAAACTTTTTAAATTGTAGTGGCATGGTCGGTCAACTGATAAGTTGTATGGCTGATTACAGATAAAGCAATAACTTCTATTTGACAGTTTCGTGTACTCTGGGGTGTGGAATACCTTAATTTTATGGGGAACATCCTGTCCATGTGTAATACTTAATATATTCCAACAGATGACATTACACAAATTTTTCTTCTGTTAAATGAATGATTTGTATATCATCATAATTTGCTATTTATATAAACCACATTTTGGTATAATAATTATTTACCATATCAACATTGAATATTATGAATGTAGAATGAAATATGTCTACAGTATGATTGGTTTGAATCATTTAATTTATAAGATTTAGGAATCAAAATTTGTAATTATTTAAAAACCCACATTGAAATTGTTTTATATCAACACACCCACATTTGAATTATTTTATACTTTAGATTTCATAGCCATATTTGCATTTTTAAAAATATTTATATACCCAAATTTTCAATTATTTTACATGCCCAACTTTTATTTTTGTTGTAAAGAAGTGTAACTTGAAACAACAGTATGTCATATAAAGAGAAATAAAGATTAAAGTTATATCATGAATATTGGTCATGATTTGTAAAACTCAGAACTGTCAAGTAAATTTAAGACACGATTCAAAATGTTCAGAATATGTCAAGCCA